CTCTACAGGGAATATGGAAGGCATTAAATGATTCCTGGGAGTCATAAAACTGAGTGTTGAGCTGTGGGACAAGCATCTCAGTGGTAGAGCATATGCTTTGCATACCTAAGGTTCTGCCCCCTAGTATGGCAAAACCAATGAACAAAACCTGAGGTTTTTTTTTTTTTTGGTACTGGGGACTGAACTGAGGATATTGCACTTGTGAGGCAGGCAGCAGAACCACTGAGTTAATCCCCAGCCCAAAAACTCTGATTTGATTTTCAGAATTTACAGGGAACCCCAGCACATGTTCCTAGGCTAGAAGAAAAGCCAGGAGTGACTCAGGCTAGGCCACAAAAATAGAGCTTATTAAGAAGATGGCATTGGTACTCAGTACCACTAAGAGATCAAGGAAAATAAGAACTGAAAAAAATGTCCATTGGATTTTGCAACACAGAGGTCAAGGACCTCACAAAATGCCTAAAATGTGCTATTATATAAACAGTCTCATGCATCTTCAGAATTACTGTGTTTTTGGCATAACTGGGAGGGATGTGGGCTGATTTAGAACCATCCCAAATTTCTGGAGATCTGACTGCATTCTAGTAACAATTTGTATGGAGCAATAAACAAGACCACTATAAGATAAACACATTTTGACAAGACATTTATTACGAAACACTTTGATATCAGAGAGGCCCAAACTGGCTCATGTTAAAAAATATGAAGCATGTATTTCTTGTGCAGTGTTATATAGATTTCTGATAAATCTAGATCCTCAGAACCAAAATTGTACATGTCCTATTGACTTTAAGATAGAGTATTACTTATTGTACAGGAATCAGATACTGCAAAAGCCGTACCTACATTGCACCTTTACAGAAGCAATAGTCTAAAAATGTCCCATACAACAGATGAAAGTAATTTTCTATACTAAACTAAGATTTTTGTCATCATAAAATTATTTTTCAAGATAAAAATGAAGTACATAATGATTAGTGAACCTAACAAAAATTCAAAATAAATAACCTCCACAAATCAAATTCTCAAACAATTACAAATATAACTGAATTAATTATTTGTTAAGGGCCTTTATAAAGTTATTCTTCATAAAAATAAATATTTTGAATTAAATTAAAAACATTTAATTATAATAACAAAGTGTAATCATTGTTAAAACATCAAAGCAATAATACATTTATCTGATTTTTAATGTTCTAGTGAACCAGAGCTAAGAGACACATTAACATTTACACAACACAGTAACAATGGAACAAGATAATTTATACAAATGATATATATAAATACACAGTTTTTTGAGGGTTTTAGGAGAATATTTGTTATGATTAATTCTATATTACATCTTATTAGGAATTTAATATTTTATGTCAAGTGATAAGATTATAACATATGCTGTACTTTTATATAATCGTATCTTTAAAAAATCTATACTTTTCAATAGGTAGTAAAGGAATTTCTTCTACCTTAAATCTTGGATGTTACCAGGTTACTCTTCCAAAAATTCTGCTTTCATTGTTTTTAGTACCATGTGCATAATTATTCATCAGTGGTTTCCCATTTCTCACAGTAAGGTTCTATTTAATCTCAATATTTCTCTTTTCTCTTTTGCAGTGACAAAGTTTATTTGAAAAAGTAGAAGTGTGGGGGAGCAACTGGCTCTGCAGAGCAAGCTTGGACTGAGAAAAGAGGAAAAAGGAGGATAAAAATACACCCTGGAGTGTGTAGGTCAGACTATCATGAGGAAGCCACGATAGCGTCATTAGGTCTCTTTCCAGCTGACACCTTGATTTGGGAAATTCGACTAACACTTTTGGTTTCTAGCACAATCTTGCGGATTATATAGTTTGAGTTTAAAATTATTAGCATATGTTAATTACCTGAATTACTTTCTTCTTAAAATTCTTTGCATCTACTGAAACAACTAAAGGCCAAATTTACTGTTGCTTAAATGTCTCTCAGTCTTTTACAAAGCTAACTGATCTTGCTGTCCTGAAATATATGGAATCTAGAATTTTCTTCAAACCAGGGAAGAAATCCATTTAATCTCATCAAGTCTTAGGTGTTTTTCTGTCTTTTGTAATGAACAGATTTTTACAGGTATTTTTCTCTTTAATAGAATATTTTGAGTGTTCATTTCTTTGAAAATATATAGCTTTAAAAATAGTAAAGTCTTCCTTTAATTGAATATGATTTTTCCTTTTTTTCTCCTTGATTTAGGCACAGAGGAATGGGTTGAGAAGTAGGATATAAGCTCTTAAAACAACTACCCTGGGCTAGATATAGAAATGTTAAAATTTTGGTACTAGTTTCCTCACCTTCTTCACCTCGAGAGCTTATCTCAAGACTTGTCCTTGAGCCTAGGTTTTAAAATCCAAGGCAACAAAACAACCATAGTTTTCTTCTTCCATGTTACACTGGCAACCACTTGTTAAGCCCTTAATATTTCAGACACAATGTTGGTTGCTTTATATATTACCTAGCTGTAACCAAATGTATCACAATTTTCATTTTACATAGCCAAACACTGATGCTTAGAGATAGCAAGTGACTTGAAAAACTAGTCTTATTGCTATGCTAAGTGAATTTCAAGTGTCAGCTATTTACTTATTTAAAGAGCAGTCAATAGAAGGCAATTCCAGTGTGACGAGCATTTTGATCATTCCTGTGTTACCTCTAGCAGGATCTAGTTACATCTGTGCTCTTTTGTGAAGGCTGTGGCTGTGCATGTGGGTTTCATCTGGCAGTCACTCTTCTTCTAGCCTGGATACTCACAGCAAGCAGTTCCCTTTCGAAAGCTATTCTTTCTTCGTCATTTTCCTATACTAAAGAGAGTTTATATACTGTGCTCTTCAACAGTCCAGGGGTTGCTATGCAGATTTAATAGGTGTTTCACATTTAGTTGGGCAGAGTATGTCAGTATTCACCATGCCCCTAATCTAACTACATAAATATGTGTAATTGAGGATAATTTGTGGTCGATGAGTTAATAATTTGCAATCTATCATTTTACTATTAGGGTATTTGAAATGTTTCTATAAACCAATTTATTTTTAATAATAATATTTTAGTGGAGACTCAGGATGCAATTTTCATTGGCACTGAGTCAGTCGTGGTACTGTAGATAGATTACCTGTACATGGAATCTGAGTTTAGCCTCTGCTGTTTTTCATGTTTAAGTTGTTTCACCTATGGGATAAGAATCCGAATTCCCATTCCGCAGTGTTCTTGAGAAGACTAAATAATAGAAATTATAGGAACTATTTTAGTATATGTGCTGCTGAAGACAGCCGTATAGGAACTATTCCACAAAGTGTACCTTGCTGTAGCCAGGGAGGAGAATAGGAAGTGGAGGGACTTTTTGCGGGTTTGGGCTATTATCAATCAAGGGCCTAAGAACTAGCTATGGTAGGGCTTGAACACCCTCTCTCCAAAATAACCCGCTATTTCCCGCCAAAGCCCGCTCTTTCAAGGAGAGAAAATAACCCTGGAGCATACTCTATGGTTCTGTACTTGTCTCAATTCTCTCATGATTTTAAATTTTAGAGGAGTGATTTCATTTATCTTTGTACTCTTCACTGACAACTCATTGGCTTAATGGTTTGATATTAAACCAAGTGCCCATACAGAGTGGACAGCACAAGAGTTAGACTGAACTATTAACAGTGTATTATAATCAAATTTACTTCTTTCTCCCCTCCAAAGGGGGAGAAAAACCCAAAAAAACAAAACAGTAGTGCTCATTTGGCTTCAAGACAGTGTTAAGGAGAATTGGATCGCTGGTGTTCTTCCTAAAATCGAAAAGAAACTGACGCAATGTTGCGGAAAGGGAAATGATAGTTGACTTCATTTCAGTTGTGCTTGGCCCGAGGCTAGGCTGGACCGACGAGCAGTCCGTGGTCTCTGGTCCCAAGCCGCTATGGCCGGGCTCCTGCTCCTGAGATGCAAAGGAAGTGGTGTGAAGGGTTGGGCTTTTTTTTTTGTTCCTAAAAATGCAACGAACAAAAAAAAAAGTACAACAATCCAAACCCAGCCATTTTATTGCGCAGC